TAATTTTGCTTTTAATTATGAAAATTATTAACATTAATTATGAATATAATATATATATACTCATAATTAATATTAATAATTTTCATAATTAAAAGCAAAATTACTTTTATCATCTTTAAAATGAATCAAAAATGCATTAGTTTGGAGAAAAAGTTTATAACACTATTATATTTTCCAACAAAACTTAATCACTTCAGAAATTTATATAATAATTGTATATCCAAAAAAGAATATGACACTATCTACTGTTTTGAAGTAGACCATCATTATCATCATCATCATAAACAATAGACAGCACAAAAAATTGGACAATTTGCATGAATATAATTTTTCACTTATCTCAGGTTCATTGTACTCCATTTTTTTAAAATTGAAAAACTTTTAAAAATAATGCATAATTGATTTTGTGTGTAAAATAGGAATATAAAAGTAAATTTTCATAATAATGCATATTTTATTCAACATTCTGCCTTAAGTAACAGATCCAGCATATTCTATGAAGATCCCATTGTAACAGGCAATTGCCATATTACAAATAAAGTGTAATTTGGATATTCTATGAAGTAAATATTCAACAAGAATATATTTTTATAAAAATATATTCTTGTTAATATATATTAAATAAGTTTTACTATAATATATGAAGTAAGTAATATCCATCAAGAATATATTTTTACAAGATATTATTATTATTTATTTCATATATTATAATAAAATCTTTGAATGACGTAATAATTTAATATTGTTACTATTTAAAATTTACCAAAGGAAGCAGTCTTGGATACAGATATCCTGCTGAAGCGTTGACATCCATACTGTTTAATGCCAGCATAATGAAACTTCGATCATCAGTAGACATTTCTGGACCTGAAAAATAAAACAAAAAAATATATTGAAAAATCAATTTATATTCTAATCTGTATAATTTATGTTGATTTTATTTAACTTTTACATAAAATTTACCTCCTGCTAAAGCATCACATTTAATAAGGCAATTAACATATAATGGAAGCAACTTCATGCATTCTGGGAGAATTAACTGTCCAGCAGATGATGGATTAGCACAATTTTTTCGGTAGCAAGCCAATATTTGGGCACTACGAGTTATGAAATTGTCTTTGACAGCTTTAGGATTCTGTTCTGAAATTAATCTGATACCTGAAAATATGTAACAAAGAATATATAAACATAATATACTATTGTAGTATTTTCTAATTATTAGGAAATACTTCTGTTTATATATATATAAACAGAAGTAAGTTTATATAATAATGATAATAATAATTTATATATATATATATATATATATTTTTTTTTTATTAGATAAGTGCACCACTCCTATGGGAGTATAACACTAAGATACATAAAACAAGATAAATGATTCAAAGTGAACATAAAATTAGAAAGTTCTGCTTTTAGTGAAGACTAAAAGTAATATTAGAAATTAGAAATTATGAAAAGTCTTTTCTTCCATATATTTTGAATATAACTGTAAAAGGTATCAAACAGAGGCTTCTGTACAAGTTTATCCAGTGGACATGGCCACCTGAAACCATGCATGAAGATTTCTAATTTCATTATAAGTCTATCTTGATCATAAATAGGACAATGGTAGATCATATGGTCAACAGTATCAAGGTTTCCTGTGGAACAAAAGCAAAAGGCAGTTTCTGCCCGGTTATACATCGCCAGGTAGCTCCTAAAATTACCATGCTCAGTAAGAAGTTGAGCAGTAGTAAACGTCAGAAATCTAAGTGGTGAAGAGAGTCTGCTATCAACACTAGGAAAATACAGTCTGGTTATTTTACCCGTCTTACTGCTCAACCATTGCTGGTTCCACTTCTGCATAGCATTTGCACGGATATAATTTTTAAGGCTGCTGCGTGAGAAAGGAATGAGAGTATAGTCCAAGTCAGTGTCCTTTGCAGCTGACTTCGCCTCAAGGTCGGCTTTTTCATTTCCNAGTTATGATTTTATAAAAGTTAGGGTTAACTCAAAAAGAGAAAAACAACCAACAAATTTTCTCATAAAAATCGCTCATAAAACTTTGTTCCCACAGGGATACTTCCTTGTGGAACATGAGTTAACTGTGGTGTCATAACTTTGTCACTTCGCCCACTATTGGTCAAAGAAGATCATCACCTGTGACGTACATGGGAAAATCTCGAGAACAGAGCCCCCCCATATAAAAGGATAGTGCGATGACAACACAGGGGGAAAAGTTATTTTTCTATACTGTGAGTGTGCCCATGGATTACCTGCCTCTTGTCGCCACCGTCTTCAATAAACTTTAATTACGACTTTGAACTGTGACTATGAACTTTGAACTGAATTATGAACTTGGGAAAATGAGAACTCGGATCAACCCGACATCAACGTTATAACTAGAGGTATTTATTCTACTCATGAGAGTATGTAAGCTCTCTCTCGAATATTTCCAACTCGCAATTAGGGTCACGACTAATATATATTGTGTCCACTATTAACCCTGAAACTTATGAATTACGGATTGAAAATCCCGAGAGGGAACTGTAACTTTGATTCCTGAATTACTTATCAATGTAAATTGTTCAACAATAAACAGGTATAATGTTAATGAACTTGGATTGGTGTGCGTTTCTTCTGACATTATCATCTCCATACTGAACCCAAAGTCCTCGACGAGATTGCTTGTGATAATTCCTCCTCAAATTAAACGCATATCTATCTGCTAAGAAAATGATAGATTGGTGTCAGATCCTGATGTGAAATAAAGATCTAGCAATCTTTAACTTTAAAACCCTTCCGCTCAAAAGAACCCATCCTTTAGACAAGTGAGACCGGACCTCAAGGTCTTGAGTCGAGTAAGCGGTAGCAGAGTCAAGAACTCTTAAACATCCTACGCCCTGATTAGTCTCACAATAGTCTGAAATTGCACAACAAAAAACAAATCCAGCAACAAGTTGCATACCTTTTCTGGCAAACTTTAAAATTGTGTGTGGTATCATCTCTTATAAGATTTTATTTAAATACTTCTATTATTATTATAAAATGACAAAAAAACTTAATTTTGAAATTAGAGAAGAGTTTTAAAAAAAAAAAAATTATAAATGTTAATCATGAGCAAAATCTTTATTAAGGTCCAGCCCCATCAGAGATATGGCAAGTGATCCCCTCTATTTCCCCACACCTTTCAACTTTTTGATTTAAATCTACAATCTCCACAACTTTTCAAATATTTTTTGTTTTATAAAAACATTTAAATGAACATAAAAATTATTTAAATTCAAAATCTTTATAATAATAATATTATCAAGATAATATATAAAATATCTATTTTTAATCTATATCTATTATCTAACTGTTATCTTTCACATGACTCCAACTCATTTGTATAAGCACAAGATAGATAAATGAAAATATATTTTAAATAAATAAACTACAACTTCAGTTAATGATAAAAATATATTTTTCTAGATGCAAATATAATATTTCTTTTAGTGTATAATTGCAATCTTGTTTAAAACTAATTCTATGAAATTAGCTATTGTACCAGATTTCTCTCCCTCATATTTCATTTCCCTTCACTTTTCCATTCTACAACTACTCTTCCTTTACATTACAGTCTGTGCATCTACTGGCCACAAAATTTGTTTACAACAAGAAACTTCTCCTGTGACACAAGCATTTTTAAACATACTCTTTATAAAACTAATCATATGATATCAAAATCCAAAATAGAAAACCACTGGTAAAAAAAATGTTGTACTCATTGTTTTTAACCATAGTCTGTAGAGTATAATTAATGCCTTGTAATAAGCATTTTGGTAGTAGTAGTAATTCATCACTTGTTAACTTATATTATCAATTGAGATCTTCTAAACAGTGACAAAATGACTTGAGGGAATGATACAGATTATTCTTGAAAAACTACATACAACTTATAAGTCATGAATTATTGATCTCTGTGCTAATCAAACAATAATCAGAACTTATAGATTTTCTCAAGTTATTCTTTTGCTAATAGATTAGTTAACTAACAAATGAATTTAGCATTAAAGATTGAAAATTTTCCTATTTCTGGCATTAAATGTATTTATTAATTAATCAATTTAGTATCATATGAATAACTTAGTAAATTCTACATTTGGCTGTTGTATTATTAATTATTGATTTATAATATTTAAGTTCATATAACTTGAAACCAAATATAAATAAAGCAAAATAACTTACCTTCTTTTGCAAATGTATTCATGATAGTATCTAATTCGCAATTACGATATAGATCAGCCATCTGTGAACAAGTATTCAAAACTAAATTATGTATTCTGAGTCGACGTTGTCCACTGCAACTGGTGTACAAAATAGCAGTTTGAAAATATGCTCCCTCTTCTTCAACTAATTTATCATCATATTTAATACAAGCCGTAATAGCTTTATAACAATCTACAGATGCCAATTCTACATCTGTGGTGTTTGACATAAAATAGTTGCCATAAAATTCAGTTGGTCTTATACCTGAAATATAATTATTAAAAAATATTAGTAACTATTGGAACATTTAAAATCAGACAATAAACTTTTAGAATGAAATAAAACATTTTTATTTTTTGATATACAATGTGAGTGTGATTTATAGGAAATGTATTCTTGGTGCATATATATAAAGATTGGTGAAAATTAAGATTAATTATCCCATAAATATATTCCACAAATGCATAAGTATTCACAAAGATAGTTTACATATATTAAAAAAAACTAAAAAATTGTTAAGATTAAAAATGTTTTAAAATAATCATCATAAGATAAAATTAAATGTAGTAATAAAATGGAACATAAAGAATGTAAAAGTTTACAAGTACTGAAAAATTAGTTTTTCTTAAAATTTAAAAATTTATTTTTTCCCCTTTCTTTTTTAATTATAAATTTTCATTCTTATAGTAAAAAAGTTTGGATAATTTGCAAATTCAATCACTCACTATAATTTTTTAATTTCTTGAATTAGTAGTCAAGTTTATAAGATTTTTTTCTACTCATAAATAATGTTATTTTAATTTTTACAGATGTAATACTTGTATTGCAGAATCAAATAATTTCAAAATCTCATAAAATAAGATTGCATAAATCATAATCATATAGCAGTTATTATTTTTATTTATACAAAAAGCAAATCTATTTTTAAAATATATTTTTAAATTAATGTGTAAATTTTAAAAGCATGCCAGTTTTTCAATGACTTATAATAGGAGAAATAAAAGAAAATCTGTTCTTAATTACATATTTTTTCAAGAGAAATGTCTAAAAAAATAACAGACTTGTGCTCTTGACCATCCATGGAATATTTGAAACTGAATGAAATTTTCTGATATTGAAATAATTCAATCAATGAATTATTTTTCCAAATTATAATTTTAATCCATGCTTTTTTTATAGCTTTTAATTTTGCAAAATTTTTAAATAATTAAAATTTTTCATTTATGTTCCATCTTATAAGTTCAGCAAAAAGCTTAAAATATTAAAATGTTATTAAATTAAACAAGGTATTGTGGAAACAATAAAGTTTTTGTTTCACATTAAAGTTTAAAACATTTTATAATTATTTGCTTTTTGTCCTACATTTTAATTAATCTTTTTAATAGTTGCTTTTAATTTGCTATAAATTTTAATGACTTATCAAACCAGTTTTCAATTGAAAAGTTCGCTGGGATTTTATTAAACCAACATGTACACTTCGGGCTGATTATTACCCTTTTTCAGTTGGTTATATTTCTGTTAAAACATAAAAATTTGTTTTAACTTTGATTTACAAATCAAAATATATCTTTTAATTTATTGTATATTTTACACAATTATCTGCAATTACAATCATCTAAATAAGATACAATCATCTGATAAGTCCTTAAAATTTATAGCAAATTAAAAACAAATAAAACAGCAAAACCATATTTGGGACAAGACTATGTCTCGGAGACTCACTACTAAGCAGAATCACTTTGACGCCCAAGGCAGGTCTCATTCTCATTCTCCAATCTTCTTTGGTATTGCTGCTTTTGGGTGTGATTGTTCAAACTTCACTGGCTACGATAACGAGGTTGTCCATGATGCATTTTTGATGAAATTAACCTATCCAATTTTGAAATTTCTCTCTGCTGTGTGTCAGCCTGGGTTGAATTTTTGTCAATGTGTAATGAAAATTTCCCATTTTTGAAAAAATAATTGTGGCTATTGTATCATCTGAAATTACTTTTTTATTTTGCACAAACAATATACAGTTTAACCTGATTATAACATCATCGGATGTAACGACAACCCTAATATAACATCAAACTTTTATTGGTCCCACAATTTTACTATACTAGATAATGTTAAAAAACCTACTTCAAATATGACATAAAACCCTGTTTTAATGTCATATTTGAAGCACTCCCAAATTTACAAAATTAGATTGCAAATTTTATTTAATAAAGAAAATACTACGTGTTCAGTCCTAGGGTCACAGTCCAGTTCCTAGAATAACTGTGGGTGGTACTCTCACAACCTGACTTTGGTTTGCCTGTTTATAGAGAGAGTAGCCATTTTGTATTTTATTTTGACGGTTCTTGGTCACCTGAGTACCTACAAGTGTCTTTTTTTTTTATGCGTGCATGATTTGGGCACCTAATACTCTGTGCCAAATTGCAACTCCTGACAAGTACTCCTTCATACCTCTAAGCTGGTAATACAGCAGGCAGTATGATTTTATAAACAAGACATAGTCTTGTCAATAGCTATTAAGAAGATTAATTTAAAATATTTTATATTATTTATAAAAATTCAATTTTTATAAATAAAAATTGAAAACTTTTTCTCCTTTAAATTTAGATAATTGAATAGAAGAGATACATCTAGCTGAATAATAGTTATGAAATCATCATAATAATAATAATACAGTGGAACCTCGGTATACGACCTTAATCCGTTCCTAATGTTTGGACTTATACCGAATAGGACGTATATCAAACCAACCTTTCCCATAAGAAGTAATGTAAAAATGATTAATCTGTTCTCATGAAAAAAATGTCTGGCTTTAAACACCTCGTTTTCCTGGCTAGTTCCTGCTTGATTTTTCATGAGATCAGCATGTATCATTTTAGCTTTCTCGCAAATAATTGCTTCTGATACGCTGTCGCCAGCACACTGTTTTTCAGTTATCCAAAGCAAAAGCAATTTCTCAACATGATCTAATGTCTTCGATCTCTGTTTAGAAATTGATTTAACCCCTTTCGCAACGTTAGCAGATTTAATAATGTCTTTATTTTTCACGATTGTCGATATCGTCGTTCTCGGAATACGGTATGCAACAGTTAAATCTCGAACACGCATGCCACCTTCATATTTCTCAACAATCTCTTTTTTCAGTTCCATTGTGATTCTAGTCATTTTTTTAGTTTTCTGTTGCTTTTCATTTGCCTTTTTGCAATTCATGATTAATAAAAATAATAAAATTTTACTTACAAATTGAAATCAGAAGAAATTTAACAAAGTTAGAAACTGTGGCATCGCGAACGTCTAGTCTAGTCTAGTACACCGATAGTGCTACTTGTTCATAGATGGCGCGTATAATTGAATTAAGTCATGTACCGAACAAAACTCATATACCAAGCAAAATTTGTTTTGTCCAAACAGGACGTATTCTGAATTGGACATATTCTAAAGCAGACGTATACTGAGGTATCACTGTAATAATAATGAAAATAATACATCCTATTGAATATTTGTCTATTCTTAAGTCCTAATAAATTATATATAACATTTTCTGAAGTATCATTATTTCTTTTTATTCTAAAAGTGATAAATTATAAATACCATTATGCATCAAACTTTTATTTCTTTTAAAAAGTTCATGCAAATACACTATAGCATTGTGTATAACATCAAACAATCATTAAGTTTGCAAATTTTCTTTTATTCAACTATTAACTTGAAATTCACTGAATTCTAATTTGCTTTGTGATACATTTATTTCTCTACACATTCATCTCAGAAATTCAATGCAATCATTGAAATATAAGATACAAGTATTTGTTTTAATACAGTTTATGAAGTTAAATTTTAAATTGATTAATAATTTGATAGTAACATTTTTTTACTTTTAAAAATATCAATAAGATAATCAATAATATCAAAGAAGTCTATAAAAAAAAAATATGATGATACAATTTCAAGAAAATATTTTGATGAAATATTGATGATTATTAAAAATTGTTTGTACTTTAAATCCTGAAATTCTTCATTTTTTAACTTTCCAGCCTTAATGTTCTCAAAAAATAACATAAAGTTAAAAGTTTTTAACTGATATTTGTTGGTTATTATTTAAGATTAAGCAGCTTAGTAACAAGTATAGTGTACTCAAAATTATGTAATGAATGAATTAAGTTTCAAGCGTATGTATGGCAATATTAATCACATTTACAAAATCTTTTTCAATTAAAATGTACTAACTACTATCATTCTGCAGATAAATGCAAACAGAAAAAAATTGACACTATGAACAATAAGAAATCTAATGCAGGAAATAATATCATAAAGAAAAATATACATACATAAGAAGTAATGCAATATAAATAAAGTGTGATAAACAATTCTTAAAATAAAGAGTTCAGGAATCATTCTGAAATGAACATTAAACTTTCTAACTGTTTTGTCAAACATTTATAAAAATTTTTTTTAAAGAAAGAAATATTTCAAACAGTAGTAGTTGTCAAAAATATATTCAGAGAATTTGTTAAATTTGTTCCATAAATTATTTTTTTAAAACAAAGGAAATTGTTTTCACTCTCTATGAGAATGAAAACAATTTTCTTTGTTTTAGCATTAAAAAAAATAAAAAAAAAAGAAGTTTNAAAAAAATAAAAAAGAAAAAACATTCAACTAATCAACTAACTAAAAGAAAATTTTGAAGCCAAATGACTACTGGGTTAAATTGAGCTATATTATCGCTATTCCAGTATTAATCCAGCAGTCATTTAGCTTTAATATAACTATCAGGCTTAAAGTTGTTTATATATGAGAATTTTGAATTTTTTTTTATACATAATTATACAATAGCCTCTCATAGTGTGATATATAACTCTTTCAGATATATCACACTTTCTTTTCATCTTCCAAATATAAAAACATTTTAGCTAATATAAAAAATTGGGTGCCATTGAATTTCTACTGGCAAAGAAATATTACCTTATTCCAATTACTGACCTAAAACTACAATTGTTTAAAATACAACTGACCAAAAAAAAATCAGTATGGAGATTGAAAATAGACAAAACAGATGGAGAAATGCATCAGTTATGTCACGCCATCTAATATATCACTCATTTGCTTTGTCTCTCGACATGCACAATATAACAAGAGGCTACTATATTTGATTTACATATTTATTAAAGCAAGTTACATACCAGTACTTGTTCTCACTCTCATAATGGCATCAAATGCTACACATTTTTCTACTGTTCGTTGCAAATCTTCTAAAAACCGATGACCATCAATATCAGCCTACATTATACAACAAAAATAAAAATTTATTTATATTAAATAGTTAATACAATAAAAATAATGCAAATTAGTTCATATTTTATATATACTAACAAGGGAACTGTCGGAGTGTCTTCTAATAAATTTTAATAAAATTTAGTTAATAACTAAGTTAAAAGTATACAAACTCTATTTTAAATTTGTAGCATTCACTAAAAGTGTTGATCAGAGTTATTAGCAATCAAATGTTGCACTACTTTATAGTAGTTTAACACAGTTATGCAAATTTTTAGAAGTGAAACGGTCGCGGAGGNATATGATTAAATAAAAATTCACACAAACTGTAATTATTGTTATTCATACAAATTTTTATAATAATCTACTTATTTGAGATATATTACAGTAGAGCGTCGTTCATCCGAAAGTCAATTATCCGAAAGAATTCCAGTCGACAAATTTAAATTTTTGCCAGTGCTGTGGCGCTGCAATCTTTGGCTATGTCTTGGGCTACTCAAATATTTTACGTTTTTGATACTAAATTAACTTCTGAAGTATAATTTTTTATTGTTTTTATATTTTCCAATATATTTATTTTGTTTGTACAAAATAAAAAAATAATTTTCAACGATACAATAGTCTTTGCTAGGCTTAACATCGAAGAAAATTCAATACAAAGTGACACTTGATGGAGAAAAATTTCAAAATGGGATAGGTTAATATATTTTTTCGTACATAATCGGTTATCCGAAATATCGATTTTCCGAACAACCCCAGTCCCCAGTTGATTCGGATAAACGATGCTCTACTGTGTCTTTATTCATTATCTCTTTCATAATAGTAATAATTATTAAAATTGTGCATTAAAATTTGTAATTATGTTCACTTTCTTGCTGTAAACAATATTAATAACAAGTTAAATTTAGCATCTGCCTATTTAACATTTAATAATGTTGTTATGCATCAGAATCCACAAAAAAAAAAACAAAAAGTATTTTACATGAAAGTAGAAATTCTCAATCTTATAAAACTATAAAGAAATTGAAAATTTTTGGAGTATGAGTTTTTAAATATTTACATAATATTTAAAAATGTTTTAAACATAAAAAAAATTCAAGTTTTTACAGTAAATAATTATTTTAAATATAAAAAATCATGCATTATAAACAAGATTTTACATAAGCATTTATTTTATGCATTGAACTACTAAAAAATTTTAATTAGGATTATTTTTTAAATAGGCATGTGATTGTTACAAAATGTAATCCTACATTACATATACACATGAAAAGACTATCTTACAGATGCAAGAGTTGTTACTAATATATTCTAGTGTAGAATTTTCTGCATATAATTCCAAATATTTTCATGAAAATAGCTTTTATCCAGAACATTATAATCAGACAAAGTAAGATTTAGGTATGCAGTAAATATAAATCTCCCGAACCAAATATATAGGTGCACAAATATTCACTCATTATTTGATCATCAATATTACAGGGGTGCAGAATATTTTCAGGACTCAAAATTTCCCTGAAAATTATTGCACATTAGCACATAAAATAAAGCAATTTATGAATGAATTAACAATTATTACATGTGTAGTTTAAAAAATTTAAATAATAAAATCATACAAGTAATTAAATAGGCCTATGATATAATTTGCCTTCCAACACTAAACTTTTATAACATAAATTAACCATGTTTTATGTTTTATTTATGTTAATTTATGTTAATTTATACCATAAATTAACATAATTTTTTTTAATTAAAAGAATACTTTAATTTAAGCATGTGTCATCATAGGATAGCATATACAATTATAAACTTGATGTAATATATTGATTAATAAAAATAAAATTAAAGTTGCCACTGATGTCATAAATTTAGGCATGGGTTTTAATTAATGGACTTTTTAATGTCCAAAAATGCACAATTTCTTTATAATGACAATGATCATAAAATTTTTTCTGAAAAATTATTTAAGAAATGCACCAACTTTTTGCAAAAAAAAAAAAAAAATACCAATTTTATCTTATGACAATGATAAAACTAAAAATAATGTGATTAATAGATCGTTCTAAGAAAATCTGAATTCAAATGCACAGTCTACTAATAGAAAGCATTTATAATTCTAATTATTTCCTTCCTATTTCTAGCATTAGTTTATTATAAACTTCTTTTTACAATGAAACACTAATTTTAATATAACTATTGATAGTTACATGAAAGTCATTTATTAAACTTAAAATGATGACTATTCTGTTTCACTATCAAAAAACAATTTGTTCATTCAATGTGTATTTAACATTGAATGAACAAATTTGAAAAATTTCTATGAATTTATTTTACTGAAAGGGTTCATGAAAGGCCCTTTCAGAGATTAAGACTATGTAGACCATGGTTGTCAAACCTTTTTTCCTAATAGTCCAAATTAGAAATTTACATATATTCAGTGAGTCACAAAGTTACTTTATATAAATATATGATTCCAAAAAGTTCAAATTGTGAATATCAAATATATATAATTAGATAAAATACTGTATTACTGACAGCAAACAAATTATACTCACACAAAATAAAAATAAATTCAATGCAATTTTTGACATTGCCTTCCTTTTCATAATATTGTCAATATCTGCATTTATGGTACTAGTCATAATTCTAGAATGTTAGTTAAATGGGAATCATCAACTTATTTCTTTCAGCAGCTTTGATGTTTTCCATGCACAAAAAGAATTGTTCAGACAAGAATATTTTGCATGTGGGGTAGTACAGTTTTCTAGCATCAATTACATCCTTACATCAGTATCCATTGAAAGTGTATCCAGTGAAACTAGAATAATTTTTACACCATTCATTACCAAAATAAATGAAAATGCACCTAAAAATTTTAGGATAAAGTGGGCTGCAATGCAGCCTGTGGGCTGGACATCCCTGATGTAGGCCTTAGACGTGCACAGATTATTTAGATGGCTTAGACACTGATGATGGCAACTGATAGGAACCAGCAGACATCATCAGCTTATCTGCTCAGTATCCAGCATTGTATGGCACCTCTACTGATCATGTCATATAAAAATGTTTAAAAATTTTTAATGGATTCATTTCTTATTCTGTTATTAAAAGCAAAGAAAAAAAAAATTTTAAATTTATTTTATAAAATTTATAACAGCATATATATATATAT